GGATGGGTAAATGGTAAGTGTCTCAAAGTGAATACATTATTTCTTCCTAAGAGAAAGATATGGTGAGTGGCATCATAATCCTTACTTTTAATAGTAAGAATACCTACTTTCAAGAAGTGATCTTTTTAAAAAATTGTATTTATTTGAAAGGGAGAGAGTGAGCAGGAGAGAAAAGTGAAATTCCTCTATCTACTGGCTCAATTTCCCAGCTGCTTACAATAGCCAGGGCTGGGCCAGGCTAAAACCAGGAGCCATGAACTCAAGCTTGTTTTCCCACACAGGTGACAAGGATCCTAATACTTGAGCCATCACCTTCTTCCCATTAGCAAGTTGGAATCTGCAACTAAGGGAGGACTCAAACCTAGGCACTCTGATATAAGGATGCAGGCATCCCAAGTAGTATCTTAACTGCTTCATCAAACATCTTCCTGATTGTTGGAATGACAGAGACACAGAGGGAATTGCTATCAACCAATCCACTCCTCCAGTGACTGCAACAGCCATGACTGGGCCAGGCTAAATTGGAAGTCAAGAACTCAATGCAGGTATCTCAGGTGCATGCTGGGGGCTCAACTCTCTGAGCTATTACTCATATCACTCTCTCCTATGGTCTGCATTAACATGAAGTGTGAGTCAGAACCACAGCTGGGAGCTGAACTCAGGAACCCAGGAAGGTTAACTTTTGACTAATGGGGTCCTCCTAATTGTACCTATCACCAAGGCATCTTAGTGACTCAGATCGTTTATAAATTTTGAGGTTCTATCAGCATGCAAACTTAAGGCAATGTTAAAATATGACTATGAAATGCCGCCGTTGCCCAGCAGCGGTGACACTAAAAATGACAAGGCACGCTCTGGAGGGTCTGGGAAAAACTGGAGCCGCAACCAGACCCCTTATTGCCAAAAGTGGCTGCATTTAAATCCTTATCTCTGCTGCTCCTGTCCCCACTGGCCTTAGCTTTCCTCCCTCCTTCTTTGGCCAGCTTTCCGCCACCCTTCCTCCCGTTCTTCTTCCCATACTTTCCCCGTCTCCTTTCTGCCACCCTTCTTCCAGCCCCACCCCCCCAGTTTTTCTTGTCCGTCCTAGTCTCTCTATCTGTCTCTCTGTCTATCTGTCTGTCCATCATCTGTCTGTCTCCATTCTGTCGCAGTCATCTTGTCGTCCGTCTGTCCGACTGTTGTCATAGTTGTCCGTCCACTAGCTTTTACCGGCTACTTATTTTTTTTAAAAGATTTATTTATTTATTGGAAAGTCAGATATACAGAGAGGAGGAGAGACAGAGAGGAAGATCTTCCGTCCGATGATTCACCCCCCAAGTGAGCGCAACGGCCAATGCTATGCTGATCTGAAGCCAGGATCCAGGAACTTCTTCCAGGTATCCCACATGGGTGCAGGGTCCCAAAGCTTTGGGCCATCCTCAACTGCTTTCCCAGGCCACAAACAGGGAGCTGGATGGGAAGCGGGGCTGCCGGGATTAGAACTGGCGCCAATATGGGATCCCAGGGCGTGCAAGGCGAGGACTTTAGCCACTAGGCCACGCCGGGCCCACCGGCTACTTTTATACCGTTCTCCACCAATCACTGCTCCCCGTGGGTCCACTTGGCGCTACAAGATAGGCCAGTAATCACAGCGGGGGCATTAGCCTAACCCTGTGACTTCCTGTTTTCCTGCTGTCTAGCTGGCCCTGAGCCTGCCGCCGTCTTGCAACAGCCCCTTCCAATCCCAGGAGCGGCTTTAGCACCCCACTCCCCACAATGAAAACTACTGGTTAAATAATAATTTGATGAGTTTTGACATAATATGTAATAATGTTATTCATAAAATAATGTAGGAATTCTAGGAATGTGTACTAATAGCATATAATGGTATCACTTAGGATACAAGGCTAATATTGTTGGATGATTTTGCTTTTTAAATCTTAAAGGCAGAGTGGTAGATGATGGGGACAAGGCGGGGGTAGAGGATGGGCTGTACCAGGCCAAAGCCTGCAGCCTGAAACTCCATCCTGATCCCCTAGATGGGTGGTGGCGCCCAAATATTTGGGCCATCTTCTACTGCTTTTCCAGGCACGTTAGCAGGGAGACAGATCAGAAGTGGAGTTGCCAGGATTTAAATTTGCAATCTGCTATAGGATGCCAGCATTGAAGGAGACTGCTTAACCAGCCACATTAAAACACTATGCTGAATATTTATTTTTTTCAATCTAACCAGTGAATCTCTATTTCCTTGGAAAGCACCATGGAGACTTCAGCTCAACTGTCTTAAGTCTGAAGCAAGGGTATTCATCAAACTCAGGCCTACCCAATGGCTCTCCTCTAGAGGCCTATGTGGGACCTGTTTCCAGGCACCAGTCCACATACCTTGTCAAATAGTCTAGAAATGCAATAACTACTTCCGTGGCTCATCATCAGAATCCTTTTTGGCTGTTTTTGTTGCATGCTAATCTCCAGGTTCTCTCCATTCTCTAGGGAATCCTCTCTGATGCTGACAAAGATCTCTCAAGTATAATCTGAGTAAATCACAACTTTGACACTAAATTATTAATGAGTTTCCTTTGCTCTCAGGAAAACATTCAAATTTCTTGGCTTGATGTTTAATATCCAAGACAAGAATTCCCGATCCACCTTCCTGGTGTTTCCCATTCTCTCTCGAACCTTGCGTACCCTCTGCTTTTCCAACAAGATTTCATGTTCTTTCATTTATCGGTATTCTTCTCCCTGTTCTTACTTCTTAAAAATCCCCCATTTTATGTAATTTTTTCCCTGATTCTTAGCCCTCTCTTCTGTGAGGAATTCTTTTTTATTTATTTATTTATTTATTTTTACTGCATGCAGCAAGGACAACTCTGATTCCTGGTTCATTAAAATGTCTTTACTACAATGAGTGTTTACTGAAGAGAGGGATTGTGATCTGTATATCTTGATGTATCCAATTGCTGGTATCACACACAGCAAGGGCTCAACAAATACTGTCTGGATGATCGAATTAACTATCAATAATAACCCACGATTTAAAGGCAAATCCAAGTTCACTTGCAAACTACCTCTTGAAAGCAATTTTCTCCATAGGATTTGACAATGATTTCCCAGTGTTTCTGATGACTCTTAGTAAGTATCTCTGATGACTGTGAAAATGATTCTCAGTTCTCAGGCTTCCATATTAACATGCTTCTCCCAAAGCATGTGTTTTATCTTTTTTTGTTGCCTTCTGACTCAGCCCAGGCTATTGAAGAAATCCTAGATGATTTTATTATTTTGACTTAGTCTACACATGCCATCATTCATTGCTGAGATTGCTGCATGCTGCATAGCTACATGTAGTCATTCTTCAGGCAAGAATAAGTGCATTGTTAATACAGCTTTATTATCAAGACCAACTTTGGCAGACAGAGCACCATTAAAGGATAATTGGAAGGACAGCAGATTTGTTAGCAAAATGTTCCTTTTTGGCTAATGAGTCACTCTGATTTTTGCCCTGGCAATTCAGTAACAAGCTTGAAGACTACTTCACTTCAGATCATTAAACTTTGACATACTAGTTATTAACTACAGCTAGAGCCAACAGTCTGTGGGGATTATTGCAATTATGAGCCATCTATGTAATTTTTTTTTTAATCATTAGGCAAGACAAGGTGAGGCTGTTGATAGAGGGGCTGATGATGGACGGTCTCGTGCCTTGCGGTACACAAGGCAATAAACAGCTGCGAGGAATAATCAGTCAGCAAAAGCTCTTTGCTGGTAAGATGCAGTAAAAGCAATAAAGGTTATTTTTCTCAAACAGTCAACTGTTCATGGAGTAAAGGACTAGGCTTCCCTGTAATGTCTATGTTGGAGAGGAAATGTTTTTAATGGAGATTTAGAGGAATATAGAGCAAGTGCACTAAATGGAGAAAAAAGCAGGGCAGGACTAACGTGACTTGGGTTGTATTCTGGCACTTCATTGGGTTGCTTATTGAAAGGGTAACTTCTCTTTCTCCTCTCTTTCACTCTTATAAGGATCTCAATCTCAAATGGATAATACAAATTAAAGCACCAGGAAGTGGTAAAAATGCTGGTGACTGACAAGTCAAGTCAAGACATTTGCTTGCTGTTATGTGAGTCCTACTCTGCAGACAAACGCCTAGAGCCTCAAGCAGTATGAGGCTCACTGTATATGGTCTGCATCCCTCCAGCCATCCCCTCTTGAACCCCTGATCTTCAGTCTAATAGAAATGTTCCCCACGTGTGCTCCACACTTTCCAGCTTGGGTTCCTTCATTGTCACAGGAATGGCCTTTCTCATGAAACTTATTCTTTTTTTTATAATCAGAAAAATGTTTTATTTTGACAACCATATATTCATAGCATTTTTAAATTTCTTTCCATAGTTCTATCTCTATTTAAAGTTTCCTAGGGTAATTTAAAAAACAATAACATAACAATGTAAAGTCTATTGTAGTGACAGATTTTCCAAATGTGTTACATCTTATTTTCTGTATTTTTTTTAAAAAAGCCTGAGTGAACTTGGTGGGAAAGACAAGGAATTGAATAGAACAGCTTTAACTCTTACGCAGCGTTGAATCTGGAAATTTATTCTTATATATTCAAATTCTATGTACTTTCTGGGTCTCAGTTTTCTGTTAAGTCAGGAGGAAGAGGTGGATGAGACTAATTTAATATCCTTTTCTGGGGGTCACCAGTGTTGTATACCAGGTTAAACCACTGCCTGCAACACAGGGGTCTCCTATAAGCATTGGGCTCATTCTTAGCCACTCCACTTCTAATGCACCTTAGAAAGCAGAAGATGGCTGAAGTGCTTGGGTCCTGTGTACACATGAGACCTAGATGAAGCAGTGAAACAGTGGATGAAAAAAAAATTTCTTCCTCTGTAACTCTGCTTTTCAAATAAAATATTTTTTGCGAATTTGTGGATTTTTTTTTTAAATCAACAACAGTTAGCAGGTACATGAGTCGAGTTGCATTCTCAGGTGTTAACCCAGTATATTACTTCTCAACTCCTAGGTGGGCACATTGCTGGGAGCCTTGCTGTCATCACAGATGCTGCCCATCTCTTAATTGACCTAGCCAGTTTCTTGCTCAGCCTCTTCTCCCTGTGGTTGTCAACAAAACCTCCTTCCAAGCGGCTCACATTTGGATGGCACCGAGCAGGTATGGTTCACTGATGGAACTGCTGCAGAAGCAGTGCTTAGAATCATTTCTGGTTACAAAGGTCAAGTACAAACGAAGCCTTGTGCAAAACTCCCCTGGAGGTCCATCTCTGGGGTTTAGAAGCAAATAAATGTGAACGTGGGAATGTGTGTTACCAGTATGTATTCAGAGTACAGCAAGGTTAGTGTTGCCCCTTATCTTGTATGGGACAATAGAAACATTTACATCTGAGCTACAGCATACGTGCCAGAGCCATGGCATTAGTTATTAAATTACTCAGTGTCCTTTGAAGAAAGGAGGAGGTGAAACTTCTGCCTAATTGCACAGTAAGACAGAACATCAGAGATCTGCGGCGATGAGGAGGTTCTCAGGATGTTGGGAACAGAAACTGGGCTTCACTGTTTGCATGCAGTGTTCAGCCATTCATTCATTCATTCATTTATTCATTAGTAGCCTGTTCATTGAGCCAACAATAAAAATGATGAAGGAGGAAGATAGAGAAGGAAATTTTACCTCTTTTGTTGGAACGGATTCTTTCATTGATTAAACGCTTGCTGCTGTCTAGGAAGTCACCCAGGGTAGGATAAGGGTTGAGTCTCTGGGAAATCTTTAGTTTGGCTCATTTAAAATATTTGCTTACAATTCATCAAATCCACACATGGCAGTTCCATTTCTTCTGCACTTGATTATTTTTTTTTTTCAGCTGGAGGCATTTCTTAGCTTCTGTCTCATCATACCTCTCTGTCCATGGGTTTAGGGTCAGACAAGCTCTGCTTGTCACATAGGTAGGGAGCCCATCCACTTCACTTGTATAAGTGCAATCTCTGTTTCTGGCTCACCAGAACTATTCAGGCCCTGTCCAATGCACAGGAGAGCTGCAGATATGGCAAGGACAGTCTACATGGCCAGCCTCCACTAGAAGGTATTGCTGGACATGATCATGTCTTATAGAATGACAAGTGTGGACTGTGGGCTTTCAAGTTGGGAATGATAGGAAGTTCTAATTTCGTGCTAAACAATTTATCATTATAGGAATTTTGAATTACATTTTCTTTACTCTTCTGAGAGAGAGGTGAGACATTAAAGAGCTTGTGACATTGGGATCTGGTTCTACTTTTGCAAGTCCCTGAATGGAGCTGTGCTTGCAAAACATGTTTCTTTGGCTGACCACCCATTTATCTGTAGAACATTTCCCTTTCCAATTCCAGTCATCAAGGTTAGTTGGTCACTGAAGGATAGGGTGAATGATCTTGGCTTACACTTTGCCACTTTGAAGGAATTCCTGAATGCTGTTATTCTGGAAGCCCAGACCTGTGTAATGGAACTCTGTGTTACAGGGGACATGTTCTGTATTATGGCTATTTGAGTACATTAAGTGTGGCAAGTGCTACTGATGAAACAGATTTTCAATCTTAATTCAATTAAATTTCAAAAGGTTTCTAACATACTAAACAGCCCCTCTCCAGACAGAGGTAAATGCTACCCATCACAGCTTTGTCCATCTATCTGAGGGCTTTGCTAGCCTCACGGTTTTATACGGTATTATACAGTTTAGGGCAGCGCTTCTCCATAGTTTCCCTTTTTTTTTTTGCTAATTACTTTTTGCTTCTTAATTCTGTTTTATTCTATACATAGATCTTGCCCTTGGTATTTCAGCTTTATCCTCTCAGCTCTCTTATCTCACTATACCTCCCTAAGCACAGGCCCAGCACTAGGGATACTCATGTGTCCTGGTTTGCAGCCCCATAGGCAGGGGACCCACTACTTACCATATATAAAGCCAGTCTGTTTCTAGCTAACCAGAAATGCTTGGTCCTGGTCCTCTATGAGTTTTGCAAAGGCAAGTTTGAACTACTTCGAGAAAGTAGCAAAAACTGATTGCTACTTGTTTCATTGGTTTCTTAGGCCTGCCTCAATAAAGTAGTTCATTCTAGGCGACTGAAATAGCATACATTTTTTTATCTCACAGTTCTGGGACACAGAAGTGATCAAGGTGGCAGCCAAGTCTCTTTCTTCTGAGCTCCGAGCATGAAAAGCCTGTTCCTGCCTCTCCCCTGGCACCTGGTCATTTGCCAGAAAGTCCTGTAGGCCCTTGGCTTATAGGCCTCTGCTCTTGTCTTTACACACCTGTATCAACATTGCCCCCTTTAAACACATATCCCAGGCAGAGTGGATTTTGAGCTTATCTTACTCCAATATGATTTAATCTTTGTCACAACTGTAATGACCTATTCCAGAAAATGTCACAATTGAGGTACTGATGTTTAGTAATTCAATGTGTGAATTTAAGTGGGATGCAGTTTAATTATAACTTATGTCAACCTGTTACATATCATACCCTTATTATGGCTACTGCAAAGATAAGGACAGCCAGGCCACAGATTGTTACTGTCTCAACACACCTTACTAGCCACGGGAAGACCATTCATACTTGCATGTTTACACAAGCAGTTGAAATAGTGTGAAAAATGTACCATAGGTTGTTACCCAGATAATTTTAAATGACACACAATAAATACACATGCTCAATAATTATTAGAAGCAGCATACACACATACACACACACACATATATATATTTAATATACAATCTCATGGATAACTTAATTTAGCAAGAAGCTAAATATAAAGAATACATGAATGAAATATTAAGTGGCCAATGGGGATAAAGTTGGCAGGTAGTTATAACAGAAATCAGAAAGGCATACATACATAATTGAAAAATGAAAAACAGCTACACAGTAAGTAATAATGCATTTCTCTACTTTCAAAGGAATTGAGATCTGTTTTGTTTGGAAAAGGAAGGACAAGGTAGGAAAGGACAAGATTATGGAACATGCTTGACAAATGACTCACTATGTTTCTACATCTTGTGGATCCTTAGAACCTTCTTGCAAGGTTGCATGAAAGATCTTGGTGGATGCTAAAGAATTTCTAAGTGAGCAAACCATAGTTCCCACAGTGGGCGCATGAAGCACTAACTTATCTTTAAATGTAAATGTAAATGCCTCCATTCTGATGCTTCTTTCCTGGTATTAAAAGCTGAGTTCACTTTTATGCTTACAATATGTTGGGCTGGCAAATGAAACTCATTTTCAAGTGCCCTCTGAAGCCTGCCCTTTGTACTGTTTCATCCCAAAGGTGCTGGTCCTAGCAAGTCATAAATGGTTTATAGCAATATGAAGAGTTTCTTAACATACTTTCATTGTTGTGTCTCATTATTTCATCTCCAAATAAATTTCACCCATTTTAGCACCTAGTTAATTAAAAACCCTAATGGAAAATTGTAAGGGCAGGTAGCAATTAATGTGTTCTGAAAATTTGCTGAAAATTTCCCAAGAATCTGGAGACAATGAAGTCAGATGCTGGCATTTTGTGAATGCAGCCTTAAAGTGTCCCATCCTACTTTTACATGTGTCCATACCTTCACTTCACAAATCACACAGTGAGCTTGCTTGAGGCTTCTGCTTTCCTTTCTTTTAATAAAGGAAGTGAGGCACATATCTTATGGATCTCATGGGTGGAATGGGCAACCTATGAGTTATATTGTGTGTGTGTGTGTTTTCTGTTCGAAAATTCAGAGATCCTTGGAGCGCTGCTGTCCATTCTGTGTATCTGGGTGGTGACTGGAGTGCTGGTGTACCTGGCTTGTCAACGCCTGCTGCATCCCGACTACCACATCCAGGGGACGGTGATGATCATTGTTTCCGCCTGTGCAGTGGTGGCCAATGTGATGTAAGTCACCCGCACACTGTCTCCATAAGGCTTATAACCTTAACCCTTTCTGGACAAAGTCTTCTTTCTTTAAATGCTAGAGATTTGAGAATGAGCTCAAGAATGGTGCTGATTTAAGGGATGCTTTTCATATTGACTTAGCTATCGTTTTGGAAAGCTCCCAGTGTTATTAACAGTTCAGCTTAGTGCTTGCAATGTTCCCTAACTTGCAATGTAAGGGGGACAGAGTTTGGTGAGATTACATACTCGGCCAGCCAGACAATACAGAGTCAGAATTTGAATCCATGTCTAGAGAAGCAGAATCGAACTCCTAGCCATTCTGTTCTCTTCTGCTAGCTGACAGTTCCATATGATGTGACTGATACCTGCTCCGTATCTGCTAGGTGGAGATTATGAAAGCTTCTGGGGAACGGATCCAGAAAGCACCTTACAGCATATTTACTTCCATCTGCCTTCAACTTTGAGTTTATGTTTTGCAGACTCCTCATAAAATGGTAATCAGTTTTAAGAAAAGCTAAGTTGTGACCAGCATGCAATATTTATTTTTATATACATTAATGAAGTTCAGTGTGATATTTTGATTCATGTAAGTATTGAGTAATTTCTGTTTTAATCATTGTGACTACATGAAAATTCAAAAATTTAAAATTTTAAAAAAGATTTGTTTTGGGCCCAGCGCGGTGGCGCAAGTGGTTAAAGGTCCTCGCCTCGCACGCCCGGGATCCCATATGGGCGCCGGTTCTAATCCCGGCAGCCCCGCTTCCCTTCCAGCTCCCTGCCTGTGGCCTGGGAAAGCAGTCGAGGATGGTCCAAGGCTTTGGGACCCTGCACCCACGTGGGAGACCCGGAAGAGGCTCCTGGCTTCGGATCGGCATAGTATCGGCCCGTTGAGCTCACTTGGGGAGTGAATCATCGGATGGAAGATCTTCCTCTCTGTCTCTCCTCTCTGTATATCCGCCTTTCCAATGAAAAAATAATAAAAATAAATCTTAAAAAAGAAAATGATTTGTTTTTATTGGAAAGTCAAATATACAGAGAGGAGGGGAGATAGAAGAGGAGAGCGAGAGGAAGATCTTCCGTTCATTGATTCACTCCAAGTGGCTGCGACCGCCAGAACTGAGCTGATCCGAAGCCAGGAGCCAAGAGCCTCTTCTGGGTTTCCCATGTCGATGCAGGATCCCAAAGCTTTGAGCCATCCTCGACTGCTTTCCCAGGCCAAAATCAGGGCATTAGATGGGATTATAACCAGTGCCCACATGGGATCTCGTGTTGTGCAAGGCAAGGACTTTAGCCTCTAGGCTACCACATTAGGTCCAAAAATTCAAATTTTTTAAGCTGTGTTATTTAGATTCTCATTTATCTTTCAGCTGACGGTGGTCCATTCTCTTTTCCAAGTAGTATTAATTGTTTTCCTAGGAGGCCATTGCATGTGATTTGCCATGTTAGCTCTGCTTGTGCCAAAATCTACTTGACTGCTGCTGATAATGATTTTTTTAGGCCAAGAATTCAATTCGTTTGGGTTAGTTTTCTCTTTCTCAATTGATAGGCCAATTCTAGGCAAACTTTTAACACTCTAGCATCTATCCCTGCAAAAATTTCCACATTCTTATTTTCAGGATATTTGAACATGTTAAATTACGTGGCAAAGGGTTTTTGCATATATGATTAACGATGTTAGGCCAGGAGGATTATCTGGGCTCATGTAATGGAAATGTCCAGCAAAGAGGAAGGCAGGAAATCTGAGATGAGAGAAAGAACTGTACTGTAGGAGCCATACAGTACAAGTGTTCTTGCAGAGTTGGAAAAGGAAACAAAAGATATAAAAATAAGGCTCCTCCATCCCTAGACTTTCCAGGAAGAATTTAGTCCTATAAACCCACTTTAAACTTCTGACTTCTAGAACTAAGAGAGCAAATTTGTAAAATTTTCAGCTACTAAGGTGTTGAAAGTTTGTTATAGCAGACATCTCAAACGTGGGTTAAGTGTCCTTATTTGGGAAATTCCAAGCATCTTAAAGTTCACAATTTTTGAGCATCAACATGATGCTATTTTAATATTCTAAAATCTGAAAAATGCAAATTTTGAAACACTTCTGGTTCCCAGCATTTAAGATGAGGAACCAATGGTTCAAAATGTTTAGGGCAGTGTTTGGCCGAAGCTGGGAGCCTAGAACCTCTCCTAGGTCTCCCCTGTGGGAGGCAAGACTAAGTGCTTGAGCCATCCTTATCTTCCCAAGCGTATTAGCAGGGAGCTAGATGGGAAGAGAAGTGGCTGCTTGAATCAGCACTCATATAGGATACAGCCATTATCTTAGCGTGTCTGGGCCCTGTCTAGATATGTAGCAATATAACTGGATTCATAATAGAAGGTAGATTTTTCCAAGAAAGCAAAGAAGGCGATGATTGGAACCCGGTGTTTCAAAGAGTGGTTGTTAGAAAGAGATGGCGTTAGGGAAGCGCTGGATTCGAAGCAAAAACTGAGCATAAGTCCTTTGAAAAGACTCCCTGGGGTCATTCTAAAAGCCTTTCCCTTTGATGCTTCGATCCCCCACCTCTCAGTTTGTGAATTATTGCTTGCAAAGTCTGAGCTATTTGAAGAATGGTGCTTAATCTTCTGTTGCTAACTAGATTTCTATCTTCAACCAGTTAACTTGAAAATGTGTTTCACATTGGCATTGGAATGAAAAGTGCAGGTTGATCAATGTAAATCTATTAGTGTTAGGAAACAAATACTTCAGACTACATGACCTGTCAAATGTGACTCAATAACCTCTCCACACAAGGAGTACGCCATGTACTCACGGAAGAAGTATTAATTTTTCAACAGTCCTACAGAGGTTATGTTATGCTACCCAAAGGGAAAAAAAAATACCCAGCTGAATACCACAGCATCCTGGGATTCTAATGATGGAATTTGATTTTCAAAATAGATACCTTAACATCACAGATTATTTTCATACTTAGACGAGGAAATTGAAAAGCTCTGCATTCTCTATGCAGGAAGTTCTCTGTGCAGGAAGATTGTTATTTATGAAGATAATGAATAACTACAATGTTTTCTCCAAGAACTGGGATTGCAGATTTCAGATGCTGCTAGGTGCTGTGTTTAAATCAGATATATCAGAACTGTCATTTGGGAATAAAGCTATTCCTTGGGAACCCAAAATCAGGACAGAAATTCATAATCAAAGTTATGAATGACTTCTACCATGAAGCTTATTGTCAGAGCTTTAAGTCGATTGCACACAAAATTTTCTTAACTTGAAACATTTCCTCCACCGTTGGAAGCATTTGAATTCTGCTCAGTCGCTAGGTCTCTCTAAATCACATTCTTCTGTTTGTTTCCCATTACACGAGTTCTAGGCAGCCATTTTGGGATTAGAATTTTCCGTTTTTGTTCTCTGTGTGTGTTTAATCTCTGCTGTCTTTATTTTACTTAAAGCTGTATTGGGAAGGGACCACATTTGTTTACACTCACTTTTACAAACTGAACATTTGTCAGCACCTGGCCTGAATTCTTAAGTAGCTTTTGTCTTTTAAAATAAACCAAAAAAAAAATGAATGACAATATGATAAGAACACTAGTAAAGAGTCCATTAGATGCCAGTTATATTGGGATGTCTAAAGAACCTTACATGGTGACTCCTACTTTGTGGTGAATTCCTATACAGACAGTGATAGTCTGAAAACAGTCTATTGTATAATGCTGAGATTGGGAGGTTCTCCTGTTTTCCACTTCATGATGATGGTCTGAAATTTGACATACACTTTACCTATAAATAGACTTGGATACATGGCACTGAACAATGAATTTTTTTTTTTACCTTTCCCCTCAAAATTTTAGAAAGCACTTTAGGAACATGTTTCTTGTTGGCAGTCAGTAAAAAGGTACTCATTTTACCTTTGGTCTACTAGATCTTGAGTTAGTTTATAGGTAAATAGAACCAAACACTTGATTTAGAGCACCTATTCCTTGTCACACTTGCCTGGACAGGAGATGCTGAACTTTAGAATAGCTGTGCACACGCACATGAGTGTGTGTGTGTGTGCATATACTCTTACATATGCATTGTTATAACACCTTAAATAAAATTCTGTCTCTGAATAAGTAATTGTATATACATAGGCACTGTACTGGCATTTAGAGAATTTAAAGGTTCAAGGAAATGAACAAGATTAGGTAAAATAATACATGAAGGAAATATCAACCTTGCTGAAATCCACTCTCCTAATTTTGTTTGAGTCATTTTCTATTGCTTTCTGCATTTGAGACCATAGGTAATTAGGTTTCCACTCAAGTTCAACTTCAGGCCTAACTTAGGGCCTGACATTTAGCGGACTCTCAATAAATGATTTTTCCCTCTTCATTGTAAAATGCTTGATTTTCAACTAAAAACTGAACCTTTCCAATTTAATGTGAAATAGAGGAGTGTTAGGTAGATAAGGAAAAACCTTACCTATCTGAAGTAAGTCTTGTGTGAAAAATTTAGAACTCTGTTAAATACTTGTACTGAAACGTTAGTTCAAAGTAGTATAGATTAAAGCATACATAGTTCAGGGATGCATAATTTTGGATAATGCACACTGCTGTCCTTCCTCCTCTATTACACTGCCTGGGTTTTTAAGGTTTAAGTCTGTATGTGCCAACCACAGTGTTTATTCTCTTTTTAGCTTAACTACGGTTTTGCACCAGAGAGGCCTTGGCCACAATCACAGTGAAGAGCAAGCAACAGCCAGTGTCAGAGCAGCTTTTGTGCATGCCCTTGGAGATCTATTTCAGAGCATCAGCGTGCTCATTAGTGCGCTTATTATTTATTTTAAGGTGAGACGTTTGCAATTACCTGTCATGGTGGTAAATTCACTAGCTTTCCTGTGACTTTTTAAAATTCTTATATTCCATTTTACATTTTTGCAGGCACAGGACTTCCCCCCTTTCCCCTCTCCTTCACCTCCTTCTCTTTTCCCTGCCTCACATTGTCCTCTGTGTTTTGTAGTATGATAGTCCATAAGTTGTAGTCTTGACATGGTGTAACTCTTTACATGGGTCATGACACTGTTGGTATAGGCAATGGTAGGAAGTTTAATGTTATTTTGCCTAGATGTATTTAGAAGTTTCATTTTATGCAGTAGTAGAGGTGCAGTCTGTGGATTTTCTTTGATTCCTGATACTCTATTCTCCATGACATTTTTCGTTTGTGAAACTGTAAGTGTATGTTTTCCTTTACTTTTTGCTTTGTATTTTGGAGGGAGGCTGTCTTAGAGTGGACACATGATGTTTGTCCCTTGAAAGCTGGCACATTTCACTGAGCTTACCTGTGCTAATTAACAGACTTTGACGATGCAAACTAATTAAGATTCCCAGAGCCTGGAACTTTAGATTTTCCAAGACTCCCAAGAACTGGGATTCTAGTCTTTCAAGAAAATTTTTTTCGAGGTACTGAGATGCACAGCAATGAAGCAGAAAACTTTAGGTTCTTGGGTTGTTAGGGGAATAAAAGATCTCTGACTCACATAAGCAAAACAGACTTACTGGCTAGAGTTTGCTGCATGTACACCAGATCCTTTCTATCCAGAAGCCCACCTACACCCCTACACTCTCTTTGAACATCTCTTTTTTTACCAAGTAGCAGCTGTAGATAATCAGCATTTATTTCAGATGTACAAGCAAAAGGTAAGTCTGCATTGTTCAAAAGCTTGAGAAGAATTAAAGGTTAAGTTTAAAAGCAAAGGACTAATTGTGCTTTCATGGTATATTCTGTCTATCACTGAAAAGGTTGCACTATTCACAAGTAGTTTTAGACTTGACCCTGTCTGTGCTAGAATCTGGATGAGGAAAGAGGAGATGTGAGCCAATTTAAATGATGTGCGTTGTTCTGCCAAGAGACAGAAAGCAAGGTAGAAATAAAGGTAGATTTTGGTAGCTAGATTTCAGAAACTATCCTATTGCTGTCCAAGGCACTATGTTGAAATAAAGAAGACTCATTTTGATTTGTCCTGTTTTTGTGATTATTGAAAGTTCAAATTTCTGTAAATTGAAGTCCAATTTACTTTGCTTGGGTCTTACAATAAGTGTCTCACTGGGAGAGGATAGAGACCTTGATTGTCCATCCTATACTGTCCATGATGCAGATGAAGTGACCACCCCCACAAAATCCAAGGTGTTAATACATGGTGGTAATACATCCTGTATGAGTTGCTGACCCCGAACAAGTACAGATCCACCTTAGCTCTCTGGCAATATCAAGATCTAATAGAGGTGTGTTAGGGTGCTGTGAGGGACATCATGACTGCTCAATTTTAAGGGATTCTTACTATTTTTTCCTAGAAAATTAAAACATGTTATTAAGCTGAGCAAAATGATCATTGAAAACCTCTAGTCTAAACTAAACGTTGCTCAAAATCATAAGGGTAGTAGAATCTGATGGTCCCCTTACAAAGATGAAGTTGATGAGGAGATTCTTAGAGGGAAGGAAACATGGGCTTTTCTGTGCAATAGAAATTCACAGGCAGAATAACATGTGAGGCCAGGAGCTGTGTTAGGGGATGAGTAGGAATGACACCTTGGGTAGACTGAAGCTATCTGCCTGAGTATGTGTCAAACCTGAGAAGCAAAGTAATGAATCAAGACCAAGGGCCATGAGATCACTGACCCTGTGCAACTTCATGTGTTGCTTCTATTCTTCACAATTGTATCAGAAAGTAACCGGGTATAGTGAGTTTACTGGTGCATATCTTCATCACAGCCTATTTAGAAATTCTACTTATTTCAGAGAAGTGAAGTCAAGCTACCTGAGAGTACACTTAAAAATTGGCTTTCTTTTTTGTTATGAAATTATGAGGGTGATGTTCCCGGTAGCCTCACATCTCCGTGGTCATTTGAATCTGAAAAAGATTGAGGCTTCAATTGTACCTGTGGGTCAGATGTCAGGGCAGTGCATGGGTGATAGAGAAGGAAGGAAAGAGGGAGATTTTCTTTTTTAATCAGACTTCCTGGATGGACAGTATGAATTAACTTAAGTTTCTGTATTTTCCAGCCAGACTACAAAATAGCTGATCCAATCTGCACATTTATCTTTTCCATCCTGGTTTTGGCCAGCACCATCACAATTTTAAAGGACTTCTCCATCTTACTCATGGAAGGTAGGAGAGATGTTATCTTTCTCCTGGATCAATATTTTCTCTCCCATGTGGTCATAAGAAGGAATGGCTGCAACACGTGCTTATTCTAAGTTTGTGTTGTAGGGGAAATTTAAACTCATAAGGAACTTCTGTGAAACAAGTATTTGATTCTATTCATATGGGAGTTAATCAAAAAGAGCTGGCTTCTGTTTGCACCCCTAGCAGCTGTTCAATAAAACCCCACAGTGCAAAAATTACAAATACAAACACAAAGACAAGGGGGATATATTGTAAAGTCTATAAAACATAAGTTGATTCTAAATACATTGAGGAAAACTGTAAACCTACCCTGCAAGCAGCATTATGACTGAATATTTTAGCTTAATTGGGTCCTACAACAAAAGAACACTAGGGTGACCTCTTACTTAATAAGCGGAGTGTGAACCCAGCTCCATCTCTGGGCTAGATAGCATGCTGGAAGCTAGTGTTTCAGAGATGAGCAAAACAAAGAATAACTCTGTCCTCAGGGGGCTAATACTTCAGTGAGAGGGAGAAGGTTATTGGAATAATTACACAGGAACAGAAAAGTTGCAAGTGCTACAAGGAAGAAATGCAGACCCCTTTTTTGGGGACTTTAACAGGTCTGCAGTATAGACTGGTGGACATCGGGTCTTCAGAGAGGGAGCGATGTTTGCTGCCCTTCTCTTACTCCAGGCATGGGAGGAACTCAGGCCAACTAGTGCACTTCTCCCCAGCCAGGATCTAGCCCTGATGAGTCTCCAAGGCTTGTGGAATGCCTCTATGGCTACTTGGAATTTCCAATGACTCAGAAACAGATGACAAACAACCTTCACCATCAAAATATTCCTTATGCCTAAAGTCCACTGGCTCAGGCAGCTCCCCTTGCTCCTTCTCCACTTTTATGATTTTCTTCTGTTCTGGCATAGCATGGCTGGAGAGCTGTTGGTTTCTGACCTCTCCGGATTACATTCATTTTGAAAAGTGTGGCTTGGAGACATGCATTGTACAGTTGAAAATTTAGCATGTATTAGACCGCATCAGTCACTGAAACTTCAATTCAGATTCTAGTTTTCTAAGTTCAGGTGGTGGATTTTAGACAATGCCCTTCAGGCCTCTGAATTTCAGTTTGTTCAACTTTGAAGTGGCAGGACATTATCTACCCTGTAGTGTTTGGGGGAGTATTAGGTGTGAAAGCTTTTGGAGCAGAGTAATGCCTCAGTAAATATGATCTCTCCCCAAGCTCTTTTGGTTGATTAGAAAATAGGATACATAGAACTCATTTGTAATGTTGACTCTGTACTGAAAAGTTATTTCCACACTGAGAAAGTCCTGATTGTTTGTTTAAATATTTGCTTATTTGAAAGTTGTAGTTATAGACAGACACACACACACACACGCACACACACACACAGGATTGGAAGAGAAAGAACTTTCATTCACAGTTTCATGTCCTACATGGCAGCAAAGGCCAGGTCTGGGCCAGGCCAAAGCTAAAAGCCAGGAGCTTCTTTCAGGTCTGCCCTGTGGGTAATAGGAACCCAGGCAATTGGGTCATCATCTGCTGCTATTCTCAGGTTAATAGCAGGGAGCTGGATCAGAACTGGAGCAGCTGGGACATGAACTGGTGCCCACATGGGATGCTGGCATTGCAGGTGGTGGCTTTACTCACAATGCTACAACAATGCTCCTAAAGTCCTGATTCTTGATCACAAGCTGTGGTTATACGGCTGGTCAGGGTAGGACACTGAGGACCTCAGAAGAATCCAATAATGTGGCCTCAATTGGAACAAATCCATCTTAACTACCATAGAGAATGGCACTTCAAATGAGAGAACTACTGACTTAACATTACCTTGTTATCCAGATTGAGCATCCCTTATCCAAAATTTTTGAGAACACATGTGCTTTGGATTTCAAAATTCTTTAAATTTTGGAATATGTGCATACATACAAACTAAAATATCTTAAGGAGGAAACCCAATTCTAAACACAAAATTCATATTTTTATGCTTCAGTCACCTCATGCACATAGATTGTAGATAATTTTATATCTGCGTTTTGGCTTTAACGAGTCACTAATGTCACTAAGGAATTTTCCACTTCATGTTAAGTAGTTTCATATATTCAAGCATCATGGAAGTTAGCACTAGGGTCTTCAACCCATATTAAAATATATTAGACATAAAATACGGGATTATATTTACTCTGCCGTTTATCATTGCTCTAGTGCTCATTTACAGTGAAGAAAGTGGGCATTTTGGGAGACTTGCTAAAACCCTTATTAGAGTAAGCCAACTGTTCTCAAACTAGTGGCATTAAAGTCACATGGAAGGCTTGTGTAAAGACAGATGGCTGAGTCTGCTCCCACAGTTCTTGAGTCAGCAGGTCTTGCAGGAAGAAGGATGGGAGAATAGCTTCTCATTAGAAATCAACCCCACTTTAAGGGCCACTGACTAGGATGAAGGATTCCTATATGATATGCTAGGGATTTGCATCATACCAAATAGATAATTGAAAATACCCAGACATCCCTTCAGTGTTTCCTTTTGCCTTAAACATGTCGGAGAGTACACATTCACAGAGCCTGGTCAGTCACCTTCAGGGACAATTCGTGGTTGTGCAGTCATCACTGCTGAGGGTGCATGGAAGGCTTTTGCTTTTGGTGAGTGCCATGATTAATGCTGATAACAATGGGAAGATTAACAGTCAGATGTCACTGGGGCCGAGTACTGGGCTACAGCTGCTGCTGCCAACATCAAAGTTATTTAACTCAAAGGCAGGTAAAAGACAAATTGGTCTACAATGAAACAGCTGTATTCTAATTTTTCTGTCTTCACGTGCCTGTCCCCTGGTGATTAGGTTTCTTAATTTAAGGGAAAGTGCAGAGATTGAGCTATCTTACATAATTATTAAAACTGACAGGTAACTTCTGGGAAATCATTTTCAAATTAGTTTCTCAAATTAGGCCATTATAAAATAATATTTGCACTTGGCAATACAGTGAAATGTTAAAGTACAAAGTGAGAAAAAGTCTTCATGTATTTTTATCAATGAATTTACCATGCCATTTTCAAAGTAACATTTGATATCTTCCCCAAAACATACATTTACATGCATGTAATTATGTATATGTATACATGCTATATATTGTGCACTTACATGTCCTTTTGTTAAGGCATTACATGTAATTATTTTTGCATTTTTCTTGAAAATAATTTATATTAGTGTATACATAGATATCCCTCATTTTTCTCAGTTGCGGTCACTCCATCACATACATATATTTGCTTATAGTGCAAGGACATTACAAAGAATGTTATAATTACTGCTCTTATACATATATTTTAAAACACTTGTATGCTCATGAAATTATTCCAGTAAGTCATATAGCTTTGCCATTTTTTGGACTATTTTGTTTATTTTTATTTGAATTGTGTATTTTACAGAGAGAAAAAGGGAGATATAAAGAGAAGTTTTCTATCTGCTAGTCCACTTTCCAAATAGCTGCAGTGACCAGAGCTGAGCCTGTCTGAAGTCAGGAGACAGGAACTTCTTCTGGGTCTCCCAGATAGGTGCAGGACTTGAACCATGCTCTGCTGCTTTTCCAGATCATAAGTGGGGAGGTGGAGTAGGCAGGACAGGAACTGTTACCCATATGGGATGCCAGAGATGCAGGCTTAGCCTGTTACACCACCATGCCAGTCCCAGAGCTTTGCCATTTCTGCCAATGATAATTTTCCCCTCCAATAGTGTAATAGTACCCTTTTTCTGACACCCTTCTCATCCCTGGGTATATAAATTGATGATTGTTTTCTAATAAGATAAATGAAATTTTATATATTGTTGATTTCATATGTGATTCTTTAATTGGAAGAAACATTGAGTATTTTTTCTTGATAGCCTCAGAAGTTGTCTTTCTTAAATACTAATGTAGGTACTTTTATGTATGATTTTAATATTTTTACAGACTTCCCAGTAATAGATATTACTGGGACATGATATGGCATTAATGTTAGTGGAGGGATGATACTACATTTTACAGGAAGTAGTTTATCATGCACTTGTGCTCTCTATGTGAGTAAGGAAATGAAGGAGATAAGAGGAGAGGGGTGGGGGATCATGACTTTAAGAGTCCTGGGGAATTGCAATAGATACACAAAAAATCAACTGAAATTACAGAGTTGACACTCATCAAGCCTAATAGAAAATTTTTAAATATATCTTTGAGAACCAGAAAGAGGGGGAGAGTGAGCACACATCCACTGATTCACTCATCTATGCAAGTTGGCTGAGACGGGACCACAGTTAAGCCAAGAGCTGGGAATAGAATCTAGATGGATCTCCTACAGGAATGGAGGAACACAATTACTTGTGTCATCATCCCTACATTTCAGAGTCTTCACCGACAGGAAACTGGAGACAAGAACTGGAGTCAATACTGAATGTAGATGGTTCCGAGTATCAGCTATATTAATCACTTGGCAAGAAGATCTAGTAGTTGGCTTTTTGATGATTATACCATGGCAATATATGACATAATATATTGCATGACACTTGGCAACACTTGGAGTTGTCAACATTGCTTAATTCTCTCTGACCCCAAATTTCTCTTCCTTAATGGCAACTTTGATAACTATTTGGTAAAGTCCTTAGGATCATTAATGAGACTTTATTAAAAAAGTGGTTATGGGGCTGGTGTTGTGATAAAGGTCAGGACGTCACCTGTGATGCTAGCATTCCATGAGCCCTGGTTCAAGCTCTGACTGTTCCACTTCTGATGCAGCTCTAAAATGCCTGTGAAATTCACAAAATATCTTCCACCCACATTGTATACCTGCTTGGGGTTCCTGGATTCTGGCTTGGCCTGGCCCAGATCCAGCTATTGTGGTCATTTAGGCGAATGGATCAGCAGATGGAATGGCATCCTCTCTTTCTTAAGCTCTGCTTTTGAAATAAATCTTACAAAAAATAAAGCACTAAACATATGCCTTAAACACAATAGGTTGTCAGTAATGGTTATTACAATATGCTAATGTCACACATAACCTCATACACAGAGGGTTAATGTGAGAAAAAGAAAAAGAAAACATCATCGGATCTTCTCTGGTACTGAGAACCTTTCACTTACCACAGAGGCAAAGAAAATATTGATGTCATTAATCAATATGAGATGGGGTTAAGCCAGCCTCATTCTATAGAGAATCAGTAGAATTTGCCCCAGAAATGAAATCTCATCTGAGCAAACTACTTAAATCCTGAAAATGAATGCTTGCTCATTTTTATCACTTGAATATGTTTAAGCTCCCAGCACCAGCTTCTCATTATAATCATCTGAGAAGTATCTATGAAACAGTTACACACAACAGAATGTTACTCAGTCATTGAAAAGAATGGCATCATATCATTTGTAACAATATGGATGTAATGCAGGACATTATGTTGAGTAAAATGAACTAGGAACAGATGGACAAATGCTGTATGTTTCCACTGATACAGGAACTAAAAACAATTTATCTGAAAGCAGTAAATAATATCCTGATGACTGGAGGCTGGAAAGAGTAGTGGTGGGGAGGCTACAGAGAGGCTGCACAATGAACACCAAAATGCATGCCACAGCACAAATATGCTCTAGTGTACAACAGCACAGTAGCATGGCTGCAGTTCAAGCTAATTCACAGGATAGCTCAAAACAACAGGAGTTCAGAGGTTTCTAACACAAACAAATGACAATTGCCAATGTGACATTGGGTATCATAAACACAATCATACAATTATTAAGTGTCAATCTCAGAAAAATCACAAGTGAAAACAAATGAACAAGCACTTCATATTTAGGCCTCCCTCCACCCTCATGCCCTGGGATTCTGATTTAATTGTCCAGTGCTGACCATGAAGTCAGGCTCAAGACTCGCTGCAAGACAGAACATCCTGGTGGCTCATAAAGGTTAGTATAATGACTCTCAGTCTTGGCTGCATGTTAGAATTACCCGTGCTGTGTCTGATCTCCAGAGAGTCAGACTGAATTGATGCTGGGGGCGGGGGTAACCTAGACCTCAGGACTTCTTAAAAATACTCATAATATTAGTGTGCATCCAAGGTCGAAAACTCCTCCAGAAGTCTGGGATCGCTGTTAGAAAGTGTCAAATGGGGCTGCAGTGTGTTTATTATTAATAAATGGCTGGGAGTTTGTGTTCTAGTAGAGGCTAAAGAGTTGGACTTGGACATGAACTTTATAGATCTTCTTGCTGAAAGGAATTTGTATTTCAACCAAAAGGTATAGCACTGTTATGCTGGTTGAGTTGATTTTAATTCTTGTTTTGAACTGATGTCTGCTTTACTATGCCAACTACTAACAGCTCTGTCCATCTCTCTGGAGCAAGCAAGAGCAAATGTCATGCAGTTTCATTTGCTGCCATCATCCACATGACAAACTTTGCAACATTTCAGAAGAGTGATCACAATGCCCTTAACCTTTTGCTTTCCAAGCTAGAGATACCCAGTTTCATTGACATTAAAAACACAGCTGATTGCCTGCCAGGCTTTCCCCATCCAGTGTGCCTTTACAGTTTCTCTAGGAGCAAGAACAGCAGTTACATTCTGTGACCCCGACATTGAATGCTAATGTAGCTAAAATAATGGGAATTTTATAAGCCGAGTAATAAGATGGCATTACAATGCTGGAATCCTTTATTCACACAGCTCATTAAGTGACCCGTAGGATAACTGACATTTGTAAAGCTCTGTAGTTAATGAGGAGCAGAGATTCTCTAGTTTGCTCCTCAGAGAACTCTGATCTGCAGAGTGTTCTTATCATCCTTGTTTTACTCAAATGTGTTCAGGATCAGGGAAGTTCTATCAAATGGGTAAATTCAGGATAGCCGTAGTAAGAATGCTTCTTCAGTATTATTTGATATCAAATTATATTACTTCATTTTGCTTTTCAGTTTGTATGCAAAGAGAATTAGGAAAAGCACAATTAATAATGCATCCTGAAATCTAAGGATGATTACTTGTTGGCTATTGCATATTAAATTCTGCAAAATACTGTCTATGAAATTTGATAGTGAACACTTTGGAATTGGTGATTTTGGTTTGTAAACACTTGCAGTAAACCAGCAAAGTAGAGGGCAAATTAGTGTCATAGGAGACACTTATAGCCCATTCAACCATCTCAGAGAGCTGTATTTAGTGAAATAACTGTTTTCCCACTCTTCCTTTGTGTTAGGTGTACCAAAGGGCCTGAGTTACAATGGAGTCAAAGAACTCATCATGGCAGTTGATGGGGTTGTGTCTGTACACAGCCTGCACGTCTGGTCTCTAACAATGAACCAAGTGATTGTCTCAGCTCATGTTGCCACAGGTCAGTGATTTTTGCTAATACTCTAGACAAAATAATTGATGTCCTCTGAAGTCAGTAACTTCCTCATTTTTTTTTTTATAACTGCCCTTAGTGTCTATTGCCTAGCAAACAGCTGTAGAATGTTCTGTAGTGCTGAGGGCCTTTGAAAACCAACCCTATCGATGTTGTCATAACAACAATTCTAATGACAACCTTGTGGCTGACTGCAGTGTGAAGAGCAGAGACAGAACAAAGGACTACAATGTCTCCCCGTGCTCAAGATCTAGGATTCTGGAAATTTGACTTTCTCTGTTTTGTTTGATGATTAAGTACTAAAAAAAAAATCAGCAATACATTTTAGCTGAGTATTTCCTGTGTGTTCCATGCTTTGACAGGTCCCATGCTTAAAGTTAGGTTCCATGGTGGATGATTAGAAATTCTGTAGCCAGGTGAGGAAGTCTTTGTACGTTGTTTTTATACTGGAAACTGTTTTTCAAGTAGATGATTTTTTTCCTAATAAATACTGGGGTTGGGAGCATAGGCAGTGGCAGGTTTTTTGCTGCCTCCAGAAAGAGCTCTGGTCAAGAATATATTAGGTTGCTACAGAGTAACTTTAAGACAGTTCTTACAAGCCAGGGATCAGAACAGCAGCAGGAGTCATTTCCAGTCTGGGCTTTTTAGACATACTCTTCTCCAAGGACTTGGATCTGGCTTCAGTGACTTTATAGCATTTGTAGCATCAATATTTCACAATAAAGGGAAGAATACAGTAAACACTGAGGTTACTTTGGAGGGGAACTTACAGCCTCCTGATACAGCTTGGGCAAGAAAAAAAGATGGTAGTGAGGAACACTGCTCTAAGAAAGGTCCGAAGAGAGCCTGAAATCCTTCTGGCTCCTGCCACTGGTCTGGATATAAATTCAAATTGAATACAAGAGCTGCCCATGTAGAGACACCTGGGGGCTGACAAACCTGGCTATGTAAGGAACAATGGTCCACCTTGGCTCTTTGCAGGGCTTCTCTTCTCTCCCACATTCATCTTTCTGATGTGCCGGACTCCATGGTTAACTGTGGGCAGGACGTTTCTCCCAGTGGTTGAAGGGGTACTTTGTTAGCCCAGAATTTCTCCCTGCCGTGTTTGTGAGAATGTGGTTGCTGGTCAGTGTGGATGTGGCTTCCTCTCAGGCTGCACCCCATCATGCCAGAAGCAGAGCATCTGAAGCTGGAGGCCTAGTAGTGTGTGTGCAATCAGTGCTAATCTCACTGTGATTCTTTGTCAACAGCAGCCAACTGGAACGACCAGGTTGTTCGGAGAGAGATTGCCAAAGCACTCAGCCAAAGCTTTGCTCTGCACTCCCTCACCATTCAGATGGAATCTCCAGCCGACCAGGACCCTGACTGCCTTTTCTGTGAAGCCCCCGAGGACTAGCTCAGTCACCCTGACAGCATCCTTCATTAGCGAGGCAGTCTACATGCAGCAATGCAATGACATAAGAAGAATCCAAAGGAAGATATTTGAAACAGTATGACTCTTTGCAAGGTGCATATTTTGTTCTTTATTTAGCACTATTCACTTGGAATGAAGAAGCATTCAGAGCCAGTTAATTGGATTATATACTCATCAGTAGCTGTATTTAATTAGAGGAATGTGTGAATAGATTTGTAACTGGGGATGAAAGAACAGCTGTTTGTATCCATAGGCAACAAAAGGTTCACTTGCCTTGAATAATATATCCAGTAAAGGTGTGGTAAAATTTGAATTCAGGAAAGTCTTATCGAAATCAGTGTCAGTGCCAAAAAATGTTTATGGAAAATCTGTTATCTCTTAGCTATATGTCCATGAACTTTTGGAAATTTTCACAAAGACACAAAATTCCTTTGGAACATGTAAATTGAAAACTGGAATAGCAGCATGTTGGAGAAAAAAAAAGAGTTTGACTTTCTCAGCATTTGTAGTATGAGCAGGAATAACATCTACTAGGTCCTATCAACATCACTATGAACTAAATGGGGGAGACATTTTTCTTAGTCTTACCTATAAATTAGGTTGCAATATATCTAAAATTGAAGAACTGTATTTTACTGTTCTGGATAAAAGTTTTGGACAAAAGTTATAAAATTGCTGTTCAAGTGTTTTCATATCATCAACCTAATAAAAGAAAATAAGGATGCAAAGGAATAGAATCAATCTCAGGTCTCACAGAAAATTATTTAGTGATAATTTCAGGTAAGAACTCAAGTTGTAAATAATATTTATGAAGCACCAACTATTATCCAATCACTACAATGGGCTATTTAGAAATGTTGGCTCATTTTTGAGATTGGGAGAAGTTGCAACTAATGCCGTTATTGTCTGGACAAGAATATAAGAGTTGAAGAGGATAAGGAATGTAACCAATGTTACTTATTTGATCATTAGAAGACAATGTTTGGCATCAAGTTTGGGCTAAGCATGTGGGAAACAAGCCAGCATAGCTTCTGCCATCACAGAGCTCTGTCCATGTTCTTGGAAAAAAATGTTTTGCATGTACTACAAGTAGTGGAAGATCATGGGAAAGAAGAGAGTCTGGTTGAGGTTGGAGAAGGTTAACAGAATAGCTGTGAGTTGAAATATGAACAAGAAGTGGATGTTAGCAAAGTTAATTGTAGGAGAAAGCATATTTTAGAAGCAAGAGGGGCTAGAGTTGTGGTGTAGAGAGTTAAGCTACAGCCTACAATGGTGGTATCCCATTTGGGTACTCATTACAGTCTTAGATGCTCTACTTCTAATCCATCTTCCTGCTAATGTGCCTGGGAAAGAGGCAGATGATGGCCTATGTGCTTGGGTCTCTACCACCCATATGGGAGACCTGGATGGAGTTCCAGGCTACTGTTTTGGTCTGATCCAACCCTGGCCATTGAGTCATTTGAAGAGTAAAACAGTGGATCCATCACACATATAACTTTGGGTGTCAGATAAATGCATCTTCTAAAGGAATGAATGCAAATCAAGAACATGACTTCATAAACCCTGAAGATGGACCTTGCCAGGTTTGAAAAAGAAAAAAAACACCTCAAGTTATGTTACAGGCTAATCCTGAACTTGCCAGCGCTGGCATCCTATATGGGCACTGGTTTGTGTTCTGAGTACTCTGTTCCATAATCCAATTCCTTGCTTATGCCTGAAAAGCAGAAGGGGATTGTCCAAGTCCTTGGGCCTCTGTGCTCATGTGGGAGACATGGAAGAAACGCCTGACTCCCAGTTGGCTCAGACCAGTCCAGTGGCTGTTGCAGTCATTTGGGAAGTAAAGCAGCAGATGGGGGAATCTTCTTTTTCCTTCCCCCCTTCCTTCTCTCTCTGACTCTTATTTTCCAAGTAAAATAAATAAATCTTCAAAAAAAATCAGGAGAGGCTTTTGTGGATTAAGACTACTAAGTAAGGGGGTGAGCAAAAAGATATGAAACAGAACATAAAAGCAAGGCAAAGTCAGAAAGTGGTTGAGAGCAAGCTCCGTTTTATCTAAAGGCCAATTTGCTCATTCGAAGTTCTGTTTCATTTCACCAAGTAATCTGTGTTGACAATGGCTTATTCTTTCAGAAGTGCAAACAAAAGATGACTCTGCATTGTTCAAAAGGCAGGGATGAATGAGTCATTGGGTTTAAAAAAAATCAAAGGACTGACAGTGCTTCCTAGATGTGTGCTGTGCATTACTGAACAGGTAGCACTGGAATTGACCCTGTCTACAAGTCTGGCTAAGGAAAGAGAATCGGAACCAACTCAAATGGATAGGGGCTATTCTGCCAACATCCTTAGTCTGCAGAGAATGAGTTAAACGATGGACAATATGGATGTGAAAGAGTGGAAACTAGAGCACTTGGGTAAAATGTGGTAGAAGAATGAACATGAGAGGGATTTAGAAATTATAGTTTCCATCTTTTAATGTAGCTTTCAGATCTCTGCTCAGGGTATCAGTTTCATTTATATTCAGATTCCAGGGGGTTTCTGTCAGAAAAATACAGATCATAAATGTAAAGAATGAGGTTCTTTGTGTGTAAAGAGTATGTACTGAGAAAGTGTTCCATCTAGGGCTTTTGAGCCACAGCACTTTATTGGGATTGGACTGGTATTTTGTGCAGAGCTTTGCTGTGCATGACAGCATCTCTGTTCCACCCACTACTTCCCCGTTGCTCCCACTACCAGTAGGTGTAACCACCAAATGCACGTAACACTCACAAGGGCACACACAAGCCACCTTGCAGTTATAAGGGAAAAAAGGAGGTTGAATGGCACGTACAGCTCGGATCTTCTTTGGCTGTTTTTAAACAAGAAGTCAGCAGGCTAAGAGGCGATCTGCGGCTGCTGCTTTCCCGCAGGATCCGCTTGTTCCCATTTATTTTCAGATTCTCCATGAAGGCAGTAAGCACACTTAATAAAAACTGACTAGCACATCTTTTTAAAATTAAGTTTTACTAGTAGAAAATTGCTGGGTCTTACAGCTGGGACACACTCACCTTTTCCTTCTTGCCTCCTTCATTAACAACCTCAGCCAGACTATCTCCTTGAGCCAGACACAGGCCTCATTCTCTCCTTACTTTTCCAAATCCTGTGAGCTGAACAGGTAAATTAGACCAAGCCCTGCTCTACAGACCTGCCCATCCATCTCTGCCTCTCCCTCCCTCCTTGAATAGAGAAGATTGATTGTACTAGTCCTGAGATTTAGACTTAAATAGTAGAAAAGAAGCAGACAGCTCACGTTGGCCTCCAGCAGAAGCTGGGCATTCCAAGCCGTGAAATATTTCACTGTGTGTCTGGATCCTGACTCAGATTATTAGTCAAGCTATATTTTGATTCACATTCTGCTGTTGGCATTTGCAAAGTTATTTTTCCCATGACCTCTGTGGAGAAGTATGGAAATTGGCAAAACAGGATTCTATCATTGTGGAGTGCTTGGTCATTTTAACATCCTTGTACCATTCAAACTTCAGCCTTCATCTTCAGCAGAGAAAGTGCTTGTAGTAAGCTGCTTTTCCCCTCTGAAGGTGTGATACCCAACAGGCAGAAATTCGCTCACCAACCTTAGAATAGATCATTTATAATCTGAATTGGATGCTGTGTGAATATACCAAGAAGCCTTTTACAACTGATCTTTATTTCCTTGTCACTTTTTGACAATTAATGTCTCCTTTTAAAGAAATTCTAACCAGAGACCTTTAAGAAGAGCCACAAAGGCATCCAAGTTGGCTTCAGCAGGTTGGTGCCACAGATAGTTTAGCTATTTACCTGCAAGAGGCCAACCAATTAATTCAGCATGCTTGTGTTGGGCATGGTGATTAACAAGGAGCTAGCAAGAAGAATCCGACATGGTAGCATTTCTAAGCCCACGTTGTATGCAGTACCCACCTATGCAGAGTAAAGATTTGTAAGTTTATATCCTGGCAATCCCAAGTTGATGGGTCTGGTTTGGCTACGCAGAGGGAGTGTGCAGAACACCTTGAGTTAAGAACAGTCTCAACTACACGTACTGTTAAATGATACTTTACATATGCAAAGCTGCATATACATTATTTATTATAGATGGAGTTTCCCAGTTACATGAAGAGCCAAGTAAAGGGAAGACTATGTGCAAAGCCCTTTGTGTTTATCCACTTATTGTTTATTTATTTTTTTTCCCACTGGAAAATCAGGTTTACAGAAAGAAGGAAATGGAAAGACCCTCCATCTACTGGCCCACTGGCCCAAGTGGCCATTGTGCTGGGCAGTGTCAGTTTGAAGCTAGGAGCCAGGAACTTTCCCCGGGTTCCCCACGTGTGTGTAGGGCCACAAGGCCTTGGACCATCCTTCACTGCCCTCCCAGGCCACAAGCAGGGAGCCAGATGGGAAGTGGAGCAGCCAGGACACGAACCAGTGCCCACACAGGATCCCAGTGTGTGCAAGGCAAGGACTCCAACCACTAACCCACCACATCAGGTCCCATCCATTAGTTCTTAATCTGAAAAGCAAAAGCCTGTGGTAACCTAAGCTCTCAACTCTAATTTTCAAAACAGCTTTCCCCCCTACTCCCTTTAACAGCATTCCTAACACTGTGGAGATCAGGAGTTATGGTTATGTGGTTTTGTGTCATCAGCCTGTGGCAGGGTGTGGAGGCCTAGCAGGCATTAACAATTTTTGAGGCAATGACTCTGGGTTGACATATGGGCTTTCATTATTTTTCATTTACATTTGTATTTTTCGGAAATGCCGTGGGCCAAGAAAACATTGACTTTGACAGAGAAGGTCACATCTGTGTCATCTCCATGAATCAGTCAGCAACCCTGAAATAGCTGCTTAGCGCTCTGCTGACAGCTCGCCCAGCTCAGGGAGCATGCTCAGGCACCCAAATGAGAGCTGCTTGGTTCCCAATGTCTCGTGCCACATCTGACTCTCAACACAGAAGGGACTACTAGCGCCAG